TGATGCATGAAAAGTTTTGTTTTTAGGTTTTTAGATTAAAATTATCCATTAATCAAATAGAGGATGGGGAGGACTAAGCAGAAATTTGTATTTTTTTAAAAAGTGCTGAAGTTTTACTTGACTAAAAGTTTGATATGATTTAAAGAATGGCAGCCAAAAATGCTAATGGACTCAAAGAGAGTGCTGTCAGAAATACAGTACACAGAACAAGGGCAGAAATGGATGGTATAATTCTAAGATTGCATCTAAATAGTTGTGTTCCACCTGGGTGACACATAATGAAGGGAAATAATTAAGAGGGCAACCTGGATGGTAAAAATTTGGACATTTAATGAATAAACAACAGAAGTTTAGTCTGTAGAACAGATATGTGTGTGTACTCCAGACATAAATATTGGGAATACATTGATCTCTTTTTGAGAGACAGAACAACATGATCTGATCCATATTTTAACAGGCCCACTCTGTCTCCTATTAATGAAGGACTGTTGGAAGAAAGGCAGGCAGGGACAAGGGGCCCTCCTGCCCTAAGAGGAAACCACCCTTAAAAGGATTTTACACCACCCTTCGCCCTTTCCTAATTGGTAGGTAGATGACAAAAACCCAACTGGATGACAGGCACAGGGAGAGTTAATCAGATTAAAACAGCCCTCCAACAATCCCATAAAAACCCCTAGACTTAGAAACTCCGGTGGCAACCTATTGGGTCCCCTCCCTCTTCGGGAGTTTTGTGTTATCACTCAATAAACTTTGTTTTACTATCACTCAGTAAACCTTGCTTTGCTGCCCACCACTCTGTCTGGTCTACTTCTTCATTCTTCGAAGTGGAGTGACCAAGAACCGCGGGCACCGAAGGAAGAAGGAAGAAGGAAAAGAAATCCTGCAACACTATGTTAAGACAAAGTGGAATGAGGTAAGAAGCAAGGCAGTAACATAGGTGATAATGATCCAGATGAGAGATAAAAGTTACCTGAATCAGGATGATTTAAAATGGTAAAATACTCTATCTTTTTGGCTATATCATAACTTTAAGGTGAAGCCAACAGAACTCGGTAGTATTATTTGTAGGGCGTGAAACACCATACGCCAAGGTATTTGGCCTGAACTCTATGCTATCCAAATAAAATTGCAGATTTTACAGAAATCTTAGAAACTTTCTAATCAAGCCTTTGATTCCTTAAAGGAATCCTGTCTACAACAACCTACTCTTCTTTGGACAATTCCTTGACAAGGAACTTATAACTCACGCAGCATTCATCCCATTTTAGAATAGCTCTTTTTCTTACAAGCCAAAACCTGCTCTGTGATGGACAAGTGTGATACTGTATTTTATAAGAAATAAATATTTGATCTTTGTCCTGTTTTGGTACAGAGCTCCTAAAACCCTTGGGATTTCCTAAGTGATAAGAGTGATAAGGTATCTTGCCATTTTTTTTAACGACGTGGATGGAATTGGAGGGTATTATGCTGAGTGAAATAAGTCAATCAGAGAAAGACATGCATCATATGATCTCACTGATATGAGGAATTCTTAATCTCAGGAAACAAACTGAGGGTTGCTGGAGTGGTGGGGGGTGGGAGGGAGGGGGTGGCTGGGTGATAGACATTGGGGAGGGTATGGGCTATGGTGAGTGCTGTGAATTGTTTAAGACTGTTGAATCACAGACCTGTACCTCTGAAACAAATAATACATTATATGTAAAAAAAAGAAGAAGAAGAAAATAGCAGGAGGGGAAGAATGAAGTGGGGGGAATCGGAGGGGGAGACGAACCATGAGAGACTATGGACTCTGAGAAACAAACTGAGGGTTCTAGAGGGGAGGGGGTGGGGAGATGGGTTAGTCTGGTGATGGGTATTAAAGAGGGCACGTTCTGCATGGAGCACTGGGTGTTATATGCAAACAATGAATCATGGAACACTACATCAAAAACTAATGATGTAATGTATGGTGATTAACATAACATAATAATAAAAAAAAGAACATGGGGTAAAACAAAACAAAACAAAAAAGAGTGATAAAGTATCTTGATATCCATGACAAATCCTCTTCAAGCACACTTGATTTTATGTTAATGGAGTAACTTTTGGAAAGCACTTAAGGATGGGGGCCGGCCACTAGGGGAACCAATAATGTGAGTAGAGGGCTGGAAATTTCAGTCTCATCCCTGCAACCTCTGGGGAAGAGAGGAGGGTCGGAGATGGAGTGTAGTCACCACTGGCTGGTGATTTAATCAATCATGCAACATAATGAAGTGCCCGTGAAAACCCAAAAGGACAGTGTTGAGGGAGCTTCCAGGTTGGTGAAATCAGAATGCCTCTAAATGCTACTGTGCTGGGGCCTTGAACTCCAAGGGAACAAAAACTCCTTCATTCAGAACCTTGCCCTGGGTATCTCTTCTTCTGGCTGTTAATTTATATCCTTTATATATTTTGCAATAATGGGGAGGGAAGGGTATGGAAATCTCTGATTGTTAGCAAGTCAGTCTGAAGCACAAGTAACAACCCGGATTTGTGATGGGGGGCATCTGAAGGGGGGCAATCCAGAAGACTGAACCTTTAACCTGTGGAATCTGACACTCTTTCCAAGTAGAGAGTGTCAGAATTGAGTTGAATTATAGAACACATAGATGATGTCTGAGAATTGCTTGGTGTGGGGAAAAAAAATACACACTGGAATTGGTGTCAGAATTGTAACAAGTGAATGAAAGAAGATGAAAAAACTGGTAGAAAGGCGGGTAAGAGAAGAGTGGGGAGGAACTGTATTTGTTTCTTCACTGGCATGTCCCCCATCCATAGCATGGTATGTGTCATAGGTAATATTTTTTTTGCTATCTGAGCAATCTGAAAAAAGAGCATTGGGTCATAATGATGTGACCATAGGATGTTAGTTTATCATTTCTTAATGAGATTTAAAAAGAATATAATTGAAATGTTTTCTCTACCCACCATGCTTATATAGGTGTCTTATTGATTCAGTGAGTTTGTTTGTGATGATGGTGGGTTTTTTTGTTTGTGTTTTGTTTCATTTATGATGATGGTTTTAAAGAAATGAAAAATACCCATGTATTCTAGTTTTTGGCTCTGTGGTGTCCTAAGTCTCAGCTTCTCAGCTATATTAAAGTGTACATGCCCTTTAAATAAGGAGTGAGATACAAAATATGAACTGGTACTTTGGTCACCAACTAATCAGAGTGAATGCCAGACAGTCTGGTGCATATCAGCTAATATCTGCCTGCTTCAAACTATGGGAGAATCAAGCTATTAGAGTGCTGAGTTTAAATACTACATATTTTTATTTTGTCTTTATTGTAATAAACAAGCCCTGTCTTTAGCTCCTGCTGTGCACTTTTGGAGGGTCTTCCATATGGTTGCTGCTAAGTATTTTGGCATTTTCCCAACTGTTACAATTGGGTCAGTGGGGGGGATTGTATAGGAGTAATAAAACAAGGGTGACTGCAGCAGGGAGGAGTACGATTACTACGCACATAACAGCTTATTGCCTTTCATGCATTCAAGCACAGCTCAATGCCATTCATTACAACAGGCAGCCAGGATAAACTGCCTTTTGCCATGGAGTTTACACCAGAAAGGCCAGGCCTAGCGTGCAGAGCCTAAGTGTTCTTGTTTACATCTTTTCCTGTTTCAGGACTTCTTCACTGTCCTTTAATATCTAGAATAATTTGAGGATGAATAAGACAATTATACTTTGCATATTACTATTCTGAGAAAGTTTTCAAGAGCAGTCTCTTAGCTAAATTTTAGCAGCATCTGTAGGATTATCAGTGGCCCTGGGGACTTAGGAGAGAAAAAATGGGGAAGCAAAGTGTGACTCCCACAAACACTTAGAAATCTTTGAGACATGATTCATAAAGCCAGAGGTGACTAATAGTATTAACACTATTACTGGAGTGTTTTCCCTGGAAGAAATGACATGAAACAAAGGCTACTACCATTTTTATCCTGTGGAAGACAGTGTTGCTTAAAGCTCTAATAGATTGGAAGGAACAAAGTTCACAGCAAAATTAAGATTCTAAATAGTGAAATAATATATTAAACTGAGATATGTGTACACACACACTGAAGTAAAACAATGAACTTAAGGTCTTGATCCAAAGATTGTGTTTTCCATATTTATGCTTATACGCACAAGTATTCTTTAAATAATTTATTATGTTTTTCCTTTAGGTGTTCCTCCTCCCACATTAAGCACCAAGATCCAGCTATATAGCACTCTAATAGGTTCACAGCATAGTCATGAATTTTTTTCGAGCAATTACAAGAAATCGAGATTTTAAGAAATAGAACTGGAGACGTTTAAACCAGTATACAAATATGTGTGGATTTTTTGGTTATTTTTTTATTTATGTTTCCAGCCAAGAATAGTAAATAGCGTTGCATTATGAAAGTTGTTCCCTATTCCCTTCCTTCCCCGCTATTCTCAAGCCTAGGAACAAAATTCCAGAGACAGGCCGGGTGGTCGGAGCCCTGGGACCGAGAGAGGCAGGTGAACGCCTCGGGACCCACAGCCGGCTTCGCGGGCTAGCGCCCTGGGAGATCGCTGACGACTCAGGGCGGAAAAGAACGTGAACTTCGGAGACAAACACCGCCGAGGCACGGACCACAGCCCTGCAACCAAGCCCTGCACTTATGAAAGTACTGGTACTGACAGCAACTGGATGGGTTGTAAACCAACTGGTTCCGGGACGACCCACACTTGTCCTGAGACGCTGGAGACCCCCCACTTCCAGCTTCCCCCAAGCAAGGAAGCAAGGGTAACCAAGGCCCATCTCTGTTAGCATGTCCCCACGGAACCCGCACAGAGAAGCCTCCCGACACCGCCAACGGTCTCCCACGCTCTGCTGCCACCGAAAGCCCCGCCTGACACGCCACGCCGCGACCCCGCAAGCGGGAAGAGCCGGCAGCAGCTGAGGTGAGGGCAGAGGCAGCAGCTTCAGCCGCCGCAGTGCGCAGGCGCGCGCGCTTAGTGCGCAGGCGCCGCCTAGAAGTGACTTCTCCAAAAAGTGTCTTAGTTCTCGGTCACCTGAGCTCGGGGCGACTCGGTTGCGGTAGGCTTCGCCGATACCCGCCTTCCGCGGGTCCTGCCTGGAGACCCCGCCCTCTTCTCTGACCCGTCGCTCCGTCACACCAAAAACCCTCTAAGGGCCTGTCCTTTCCCTCTTGTCCTTTCTCAGTCGCGGGTCGGACCGGGCCAAGCCGGGCAGCCCAGGCGCGGTCCCTGACCATGGCGTCTCTCTTCAAGAAGAAAACCGTGGATGGTGAGTTCAGGCTGGGCCAAAGGGGCCCAGCTCTGCGTTTCCCTGGCGTGTTTTGGGGGCTTCCGGCCTCGATTCTTTCAGCTGTCCCTGGGGGCGGGGCTGGATCAAGTGGCCCCACAGGTGACCGCCCTCGTGCGTCACTCCTCTGCTTCCCCGTGTCTGCTGACTCGCCACACCTCAGCCTCACCTGAGCAATCTGGCTTCTTCTCTAATACACATACACCACCTTTACCGCCCCCCCCCCGTTTTTCCTTTAGCGAGACCTTGAGCATTTCGAGGAGACAGGATGAGGTTGGCGCTTGAGTGTCATTAGACGGAGATTTGATGAATTTCTTGTTGGTTTCATCTGTTGGTCTGTTGCTCCTTCAGTTTGGAGCTGTACTACTTACAGGCGTACAAACAGGAAAACTGTATCGAGCTGGAGGAGGGGATAACAGGCTCCAGTTACAGAATGAACCTGGGTCTGGGTCGGCTTGCCCTTAAGAATATCCCATCAGTAGAGATGTGAAACAACTGCTTCGTTACTGACTCCAGGAGAAATAAAAAAGAAACCTAAGGGAAGTACCTTGGGTTTAGTTTTCATAATGTATTTTTCCTTCCCTATGATTATCTTTTGCTACCTAAAGTAAGAGTGGTATGTATTGTCTGCATAGAAATTTACATTTTTAGATACTTGCATTGTTTCAGACATTTAGCTCAATGTCATCTTAAGAGGAAAAAAAATGTACAGAAATATACAAGTTGTTTATAAGCGATTACTGTAATGTATATATAACCCTGATTACTTTTGATATTTACATTGATTGCCACCAGGAATCAAATTCATTCAAGTTATTTAAAAATTGTGTTTCCTACTACATGTTGAGTCTAGGTTGCTGTTGGTTCAACCGAAGAATCACTTCTTTGTAAGGGTCTGACCCTGCCACAAAAGGAGCAGTGGTAGCTAGACAGTGATTGGTACAAACAGGGTGCTGAGTCCAGACCTGGGGTAACTCCTTCATCTTTGTATTGACTCTTCCAGTGCCAGCAACATTATTTTGGGGAGGATAACAAAGACATCACTTCTACTCTGCCACTCTACCCTTCACTTCAACACATAATGTAATGTTATTCCTAATTTAGTACACAGCATAATACATTTTTGCCTACCCTGAGTGGGAAAAAAAAAAATTTTTTTTTGATTTATGGACTTTTTATTAACTAAAAAGTACCATTTACAGTACCTAGAATACCTTTCAAGTTGGTACAGGATATAGGACAATTATGTGAGATGGATTTTATTTGAGAATGCTGTCTAATCTTTTAACGTAGCACTTTTTTCACTGTTTCAGCACCAATATTGTGGTTTCCAATTATTGTATAGTACTTCAGGGAGGAAATGGTTTATTTTTTTGCTTCAGTTTTTTATAGTGAGAATTTGCTAAACAGAGGAAAAGAGTTGTACCATTGTTACTGTGATGTTACAAATTATATTTTTACAAAAATCTTAACATTAAAGTCCAAACAGCTTTAATTGCTTAATATCTGTCAAATATTTTCAAAGACATAAATATCAGTTCTGTATTTTCATCACTATGTTTCTAGGCACAGTATACTAGGACTATTGTACTTTATAGAACAGAATAAAAAAAAGTGAGGATGTGCAGTGAGGGTATTTAGCTGTATACTCATCTGCAGTTGGGTTAATTCATCCAAGAAATAATGTTTTTTGCTAAATAGATTTATTTGTAAAAAGGAAGTCTTAAGGACTTTAGGAGCTATACTACTGATTTAAAGATCTATGTGTGAAATTTCTGAATGTAAATTTGGCCACCATGTACATTTACTGTAACTAGCAAACTGCATACTTGATGTTTTTTTACATTATTATGTTAATTCAGATCACTTACATTTTAATTATAGATTTGTACTTTCATTATTCTGATAATAGAGCTTTATTGATGTTTTTACTCCTTGTTTTATTAAAAAGGTGTTTTGTTTAAAAGGTGACAGCATTCTTCTTAGCAGTAATGAGGCTATATATTATGAAATGTAATGTATTTTTATGCTTTCCTGAGGATCCCAGATCCTCGGACTCGTTGATTATTGATCATAAGATCTTTTGCTGTATGCTGCCTTTATCTGTTTCAGCAGTAATGAAATTCTGATATATAAGGGAAATATGTAACTGCACATAGATTTGGAGAACAATTGAATCTTTTTGTTTCTTTGGATTGGCTGGAAGAGTTTGCATACTATATCATTAAAGACTACTGCACTTGTAAATTAAAAAGGGAGACAACATTACAGCACTTATTACTATTCAGAGTTATGTTTAATTCATTTTTGACACAAAGATGAACAAGCCTCTGCAGTGTATACTTTGTTACAGAAATTAATGAGAATTGTACCTCAGTGCCATAGAAGAGAAAGATTTTTTTTGAATTTGAAATTACAATTGAGTATTTGGTTTTCCTTTTACTGATTTATAAGATATACATATATACATAGGGTAATGTGTTTACAGTGGTTTTTTTTTCCCCCCTAAGTGGACTAATGGTGACCTGCTTATTGAAACTAATTATGAACCTGTAAATCAGGATGCCATGAGGATTTGTCATAAATGCACAACTAAATATGTCTTTTAAAAAGTGAAATTTTTTAAGCACTATATAATTGTTGTCCAGTATCCTCAATAAAGGCAAATTTGAGGTCCTACTCTAAGCCAGCACTGTGGTAGCATTTTGTATGCAGCATCTTATTTAATTCTCACAAAACTTAGAAGGTAAGTACTATTACCACCCTCATTTCATAGGTGAGGAAATTGAGATACAAAGGACTAAGGAATTTGCCCAAGGTCACACAACTTAATGGCAAAACCAGGACCTCATCCCTTGCGTATTATCTCTGATAATATTTTCTTATTAGAGAGCCTATGGCACAGTTTAATTTTGCTGTTCTTTCTAATATATGGAATTCTCAACTTTTGGTAGGTACAATGTAATAATGGTAACCATTTATCTGCGACCTGGACTCTCTTTCCCTCGGAATCAATGGTAGAACTTTAATTTCGTATAGCAGTAGAACTGGGAAGAACCCTCTTTTTCCCGGTTCTCCCTTGACCCAGGGTTTCTTAGGAAGTATTGTCCAGTCTCTTTTTGCTCTTCATGTAAACTTCTTGAAGGAGTAGTGTCATCGCCCATCCCTACCCCTTTATTTCTCAGACCACGCCCCAATTCTACAGCGGTTTGCTTTACATCTTAAGCAGAGAGATCTTGCTAAGATCATCAGTGACTCCTAGATTGTCAAAATGGCCATTTTTTAGTGATCACCTCTTGAGCCTATGTTTTGCATTTGATCCTAATAATAATTTCTTTATTGAAATTCTCTTTTGGCTTCCACGAAACTCTTTAATATTTTCCTCAAATTTCTCTAACCACTTTTTTTTCTTTCTCCTTTCAGGTTTTTCTTTTCTTTTTTTCCTTCCTCTTTTCCTCCCTTCTCCTTTCCTTTCCTTCCTTCCTTTTTTTTTTTTTTAAACCCTACTCCCTAAATGTTAGTGTTCTTCTTGGTTCCATCTTGGGCTGCCACTTTTCTAACTGTACACTCTCTGCCTGCATGATCTTATCCAAAGTCTTGTTACTTTATTTATTACCTAAGTGCTGATGGATCCCAAATTTGTATCTCTAGTTATATTTTTTCTGAGTTTCAGACCAGCGATTTGCTGAGTATCCCCACCTAGAGGTCCCAAAGTACCTCAGATTGAAGAGATTCCAAACAGAACTTATCACTATCTCCTTTAAGTCAGTTCCTTTCCTGAGTCTCCTCTTCCAGTGTTGGCAGGTCTTGATTTTGCCTCCTACCTTTAATTAATTACCAAGTTTTGCTCCTTTTGCCTCTTAAATATTTGACACATGATTTTCCACTGTGTGCCTGCACTCCTGCTCTAATTCAGATCCCATTTTTCTTGCACTTTATTACATCACCTTTCTGCTTTTCTTTCTTATAGCTTCATAGCCCTTAAATTGTTCATCTACAAAGTTGCCTTGTGATTTGATCCACCTGAAACCCATATCAGACTTTTTCTTGCACTTTATTACATCACCTTTCTGCTTTTCTTTCTTGTAGCTTCATAGCCCTTAAATTGTTCATCTACAAAGTTGCCTTGTGGTTTGATCCACCTGAAACCCATATCAGACTATTCTACTCCTCAGTGTAAACCCCTTTATTATATTGCTAGTACCAACAGAATCAGTGAGAGCTCTTTAGTAGGCACATATGGCGCTCCTTGATCTGGTCCTTGTCTTTCTTTTCATGTCCCTGAACATTTTACTGTCCAGCAGTATTGTTCTTATATTCATCAGTACATACCATACCATATTCTTTCTCTGTCATATTTTTGCTCATGATGTCCTTATGCATAGAACCCTCTTTTTTCTTCCTCTGGCTAACCTGCACTATGTCAGGTGTTTTTCTTCTCCTAAGAACTCTTCTTTGATGCCACCTCAAGCTGTGTTAAGTATCTCAGTCCCATATTCTCACTTTTTTAACTGACTTGCATTCACTGGAACTAAAGTAGATCCTTGTGCACTTCCAGAGTTGGATTATGTTTGCAGAGTTTTTCCTACATTGCATTTATGCAAGGTAGGAGAGTCTCTTCAGTACACATGAAAGTGTATCTGCAGCAGTTTATAATTTAGAGACAAAATTTCAAAATGATAGTATTTCCTAACCAAAAGTAGTGTTTCCAGGATCCAGAGCTTATTATAGTTTATATCCATATATCATTGCGATCCACCTGCAAGTTTAGACATAATTTGAGGAACTCTACTGATAGAAGAGGAGCAAGCTTCTTGGTTTTTATGTTACTGGGATAGTATCCATGTATGCTAGCAGTTCAGAGTTCAGAATCTCTGAAGTTCTGACTAACTTGGGATAAATCTCCTGTGAGAAGGTAGGTTGACAGATTTGTGATATCTTAAGAGAGAATAAAATCTACCAACTATATAAACTGAATCCCC